AGATGTTTATCTCACGCCATGGTTATATTTTACAGGTGAGGGCTTTGATAGGGATAAGGGGAAGGAAGAGGCAATTGAAGAGTGAAGAGTGTTGTAGTATAGTTCTTCCCCTTTTTTCTTTTGGGTTTGTAATGAATATTGCCATTATATAATGTCAACTTAGGAACACGATATTATTTTGAGATATCACTTGTATGAATTTGTGATAAGTATGCATAACTTGGTCCAAGGAGGATCTTGTGGATTAAATATGTGTGCTTGGCCAAGTTACAATTATAGTAAAGAATTTGAAGAGATTTATATGTCAAAATGACCAATTGACATGTGTGTTAGAATTTATCCACCCCTTTATATTATTGTGAAATGGGGGTTTGGTGGTCATTTTGAGTGTGATCACTTATTTATATGATATGAAAGAACTATCATGTTGTGTATGGTCTATTTAAGGTGGTCAAAGTATCTCTAGAGCTAGGGACATTTGGTATTGTGAGTTGGACACTTTTGAATGTATTTTAAAGTAGAAACAAACTATTTTAGGTTCAGGTGTCCATCTTTTAAAAGAATAATTATATGAGTACGAGACTGGTGCTATTAGCTAGAGAGCTCAAAGAGCTTCATGTGGACACTTGAACTGCCTAAATTGAACGTTAAATGGTGAAACGGCATACTTTGAAAGTTTAGAGAGCTGTCATGACAACAATTCTGCTGTCATAACAGTAGGTGTTCGCCACGACGTATGGTAATTGCACTGTAGCACAAATGGCCTTTGAGGGACTTGTCCCTTTGTGCCATCTGCCATGGCGGATGAGCCAGAATTGTTGAAAAGTGGCTTGTTTTAGCCTAATTTAATGTGATTTGATTTTCATACTTTTGTATTTGTTCTTAATTAATTTTTAACTACGGTTTGAACTCAAATAATATTTTAAAAAGGATTTTCTTGGGATCCCATTATTTTAACTTATTATCTTTTAAACCCTTGGGTTGTAATAACTCTTTTTTGAAATTTAACTATTCCTAGTTATCACAACAATATGTAAGAGTGTTTGTCTGAGTAATGTCAAGGCAGACATTACAATGAGCATAATGGAATTTTTGGGTTAGTCTTTGATTAGAGAAAATCTATGTTAATTAGACCTTAATGATCATGATTGAGCTTTTAGGAGGCTTTGTTTAATATTCACGAGTACTTTTGGTTAATAAATCAAGAGTTGAGATAACTGAAAACCTAAATTTCTATATATACTTATGTTTGTCATTTTGAATGTTGTGAAATGTTACAATGTATATCGATATGAAAATTGATACATTATTTTTTAGAAAATATTGTAAAGTGAGTTGAATATGATGTATGATGCCAATAAAATGGTTTACTAGTAAAGGTCAAGCATGTTGATGATTATGTTATTGTTGAACATGAGTTGATGAATTTACATTTAAAAAGCATGAAATTATATCTTGGCACTATCATTATTGGGTGGAAATTCACTTTAAGGAGAGTAGACAATTTAAATCTATGTGATAAGCTCCCATCATGAGTAGCCCCTGTGGTTGGTATAATTATATATATTTTGCCTTGTATTGTCACTGTCCTTCAGGAGGTGGTATGGGTTGAGCACTACCTTGTATCACTAGTACCTATGATGAATGGTGTGGATTGTGCATTATGTGTAATGTCTATCTACCTTAACATTATCAGAACAATCCACACAATCATATTATCATGGTAATTAGATTAATGAGTCTTGTATACTACCATGATAGAAAGTGTTACAAAAATTCATTATTTGAAAACATCCAAAATTGGGATCCCATTTCAAAACCCTTTTTGAAATTGAGCTTAAACAATATAAATTCTCATTTAAAAATAGAATAGAAAGTATGGCATCACAAAAAGAAAGATCACATGAACTAAAATGGCAAAAGGATCATTTCACCCTAAACAAGTCTATGAGCCATGACTGAAGCGTCACCTACTACTTCTCTATGCAACAAATACTTAATCGAACAATTCTACAAATCATTAAACATTTGGCACATCAAAACTCCCAATCTATACAAGATGGAACTAAATGCTTTAAGCATCATAAAATGCCTAATGGCTGTTTTACTACATAACCAATTCAAGTACCATTCAACATACATTTGCAATGGTATTTTGGCCCCCATTCACAAATGTAATTCAATGCATACATTCCAGGCTCAAAATATAACTCAAACAACATTCATATCATGCAAGTGCATCCATAATTTTTCATGTAAATTATAGTTGGCAACATTACACACACACTCATTTACACATAACCAAAATATTGCTAGACAAAGCAAAAGATCAACTACTCCTTGGCCGACTCTTTCCCTCTGCTCCTATCCGCATTCGAACTTGAAAAAATATAACCATCGCATGAGATAGGGTCTCAGTAAATAAGATAATTTAAACTATACCAACAAGTCAAACTATAAACAAGCATATAAAGCAGGATATTATTAAAAACACGTGCTTTTGCCACACTAAGAATTTATTAATTTAATCCATGCATAATCATGCATATCCATCCAAACCTTTGCAATGACCTCCAACTAAATATGTAAGCTAACCAAGTGTTGGACTAAGCCTATATGAATAAATTGGTCTGAACTCACCTACCATGGGAGGTTGCCTAGCCAAAAGCACCCTCAACCACTTTCAGAATACACACACACACATGCACAATTTAAAAAATCTATTTTATGTAATAGATGTCCTCATTACTTAAGCAAATAGTTAAAGTTTTAAATTTTAGTTTTTGTGTTTACAATAATCTAATTGAAAGTTTTACCTTTCATCCTCAATCCCCCATCTACTACTTATACTAAACATATATATGTATATATATATATATATATATATATAGGGTTGATTTTAAGTAAGACTAAAATTGACTCTTGGGTGTAGGGGTGAAAATAGGCTAGGTCGAGCTAGGCTTTAGCCAAATAGGCCTGAACTTGTGTGATAAATTAAAGGTCTGAGCCTAACCTGAAGCCTATATGAGGGTTTTTTTACAATTCAGATGTGATCCTACCTAAAGTTTGGCTTTCCTTGAAAGTATATTTAAAAGCCTACTTAAAAGTAAGCATTTTAAATAGGCTCGTATTTTAATTTTAAACGTTTAAAATATACTTTATGACTATTATAGTATACAATATATAATCTAATTTATCAATTATAATATATAATAATTGAAAGGACTCACCAACTAAAATATAATATAACAACAAAGTAATAATATTAACAATTAATATATAAGTTCAATATGATTGAAAATACAACTAGAAATTAAAAAAGAATAAATTGATTAAAAATTAAATGATGAAACTAATATATTTGTGATGTATTACATCATACACGTGTGTATAAATATGTCGGCTTGTTGGACTTGTAGATTAGGCCTTGAAAAATAAGCATGGCCTATTTAGATAAATAAGCTTAATCAAAAGCTTGATCCTGTCCTAAATCTATTTAATAAATAAGTTAGGTTAGATTTAAAGTAAGTCAAATTGTAGGTTTTTGTTAGGAGTTTGGCTCATTTTTACTCCTACTTGGATGGATGATGAGGGGAAGAATATTTATTGTAACTAACCCTTTTCCATCCTTTGTGATGTTTTGATTAGTAATGTTTCTGTATGATTCAAAAAAAAAATTGCCAAGTAGAGTTCAAGCACCTTGGAGCCGTTCTTTTATTTTATTTTATTTATTTATTTATTTTGTCTATCATGTTCATCTTCCATGGCCTGCAATTCTTGGTTGGTGGTGATAGCATGAGGTTGTCAAGTCATTGGCGTTCTTTCTTGGCAATTTCCTTCTTATCCCTTCGAGGCGTGTAACAACGGGCCAGGGGATGAGCGCATATACACATGCGTGCGTGTATGTATGAATGTGTACCATATTGATCATTTTTTAAATTTTTGGATCAAATATAATTAATTATTTTGGGCTCAAGAGGCGTTCAGAAATTCCCGCATTTACATATGCACCAATCACCTATACTCTATTCAATAAAAATATATCATGTTATACTAGTTTAATTAAATAAAATTTAAAGATCAATAAAGATTAAGTTAATTCATAAGAATTTGATTTATAATCTACAAAACACTTAAATCAAATATTGCTACCAATATAAGAATATTATTTGAGAGAATTTTTTATGTAGTTCTATAAATATATTGTGAGTTTGGAAGCGTGACCCTTATAGATGTCTAAGAACAAACTTAAGAAAATAAAAATAAAATTATCATTATTTTTAATGATTTTTTTTGAAAATAGAGCCGTTAAAAATAAGAGTAAAATACGGTGACTTCCCATGCCTTAGCCCTTGTAGTCATTATATTTTGTTTAAATTAAAGAGACATCTCCTGTATTTTCAAATCCTACAATTTAGTCTAATTATTAACACTAGTAGGAATTTTTTGTAAAAGATTCTAAAATACTTAATTTTTTATTTTTAATTATGTTGAAAATTTTCAAATTATTATTTTGTTCTAATAATCTAATTATCTACTCTCTCTTTTTATTTTTTTAAAATAATTTTTGAATATTTACATTAATTAAATTATTATGTTAGAATTGAAAAATAAATACAAATTATATTAACTAATTTATAATATCAAATTCTTATTTCAGTGATTTTTTTTATTGCGTGTTTAAAATATTATTTTGATCCATTTATATATTTGAATTTTTAAATAATGTTATTAAATGAATAAGTTAATATAACTAAAAAATTTTAAATGTAAATAAAAAATAAAAAATATGTAAGTATTAGTTTTTTTTGTAATTTGAATTATCTTTAAATTATATTCATATTTAAAGAAGAGATATTTTAGTTTAATATATTTGAGTTAATTGCATGGATGACGTGGGGATCCAATCCATATAATAATTAAACTACTCAAGCCGCCGGTGCCCTTGCCGAAATAAATATGCCCAGGCCAGGCTTAAGAGAAGGGAAAATGTTTTGTTTTTTTTTTTTTTTAAGAAAATAAAATAAAACTCACCAAAAGCTTTGTAGGAGTAGTTCATTATGCTTCACCTCGCTTTCGCTTTCTTCCATCTGACTATTCTCTTCTCTGTTCTCAGTCTACTTCAACTGGCTTCCACAACCAACAACGATGAGGTTGTTGCAGCAATTCCCAGCTATATCCGAGTCTTCAAAAACGGCACCGTCGAACGCCCCCGTCAAACCCCATATGTGCCACCATCGCTTGACGACCCTCAAACCGGAGTCTCTTCCAAAGACATTGTCATCTCCTACGAGCCTCTCATTTCTGCCCGCCTTTACCTCCCAAAATCCACCACCCAATTCCACGATGATGACCACCAAAAACTCCCCATCTTGGTCTACTATCATGGCGGTGGATTCTTCTTTGAATCCGCCTTCTCTCAGCTCTACCACCGTTACTTAAACCTCTTCGTCTCCCAAGTAAACGTCGTCGTCGTCTCTGTAGAATACCGGCTAGCTCCGGAACACCTTCTGCCTGCAGCTTATGAAGATTGCTGGAAAGCCCTGAAATGGGTCGCAACCTGTTCGACGAAAGACCCCAGTGATGAGCCATGGCTAAATTACGGAGATTTCAGCAGAGTTTTCATCGCCGGTGATAGTGCTGGTGGTAATATTGTCCATAACGTCGCCATGCGTGGTGGGGTTGAGGATTTGCCTGGTGGGGTTAGAATTTTAGGCGCTATGTATGTTCATCCTTATTTCTGCAGTTCAAGTCCAATTGGGTCTGAACCAGTTTCAGGGCGCGACCAGAGCTTGCCTGTTTTGGTGTGGAAATTCGTGTACCCTTCAGCCCCAGGTGGATTAGATAATCCCATGGTCAATCCCTTGGCTCCTGGAGCGCCCAGCTTGGCTGGACTTGGGTGTTCTAGGATTCTTGTGTGTGTTGCAGAGAAAGATTCGTTGAGGGACAGAGGGGTTTGGTTCTATGAGGGTGTGAAGAAGAGTGGGTGGAGAGGTGAACTGGAGCTGTTTGAACAAGAAGGAGAAGACCATGTTTATCATATCTTTCATCCTGATTCTGAAAATGGCAAGAAAATGACCAAACGCATGGCTTCTTTTATCATGAAGGAAGAAACAGGCATGGATTGATGCGTTCAACTTCGTGTTAAGTTACAGAAAGTGTCCGAAAAACATTTGTGTTCTCAGTTCCGTTCTGGTCTTTGTGGTTGAGACAGGGAAGGATTCATGGTGAGTTCACTTCTTGCAAATCTGTATTGTCAAGTGCTTGCTATTTGCTTCGTTCTTGCCGTGTGATTTTTGTTTTACTTGTTGGAATCTGTTCGCTATCTGCTATGGATTGTGTTAATTACTCGTTGGAATAGTATTTGTTGTTCCAAGAATTTATCGTCTTGTTCATCACTGAGGTTGCTATAACTTTTGTTTGTACTTTCTAGTGGTGGAAGACAAATTGTCAACTCCAATCAGCTTTCCGGGCCAAATTATATTCTCGTTTACTTGTTTGTTTACAAATCACAAGCGACTCTAATGGCAAAGGAAAAATTAAATCAACCTATCTTTTCTTTTAGCCACTGTTTTGAAATTGAATGTTGAAAGCCTAATTAGATTACAGATTATCAACACGATGAACATTGAGGAAGAGAGGATAAAGAAGAATAGTTTTTTCAGATGCAGTTTTCTAGCAAAATCAATGATCCCAGATCAAAATCTCTCTAGATGGGTAATCAGAATATGCACTATTTTCCTTTGAGAGATACCCCTTTTTTCCTTTTTAATGAAAAACGGATCCATTGTCACATAATGAATGCAACCTAGTCAATTATATCTAACTTATGCCTTTTTATCCTCCACCAACCTTAGTACCGACAAATGAGCGCAATAATTGGCCTCCTTGTAAATTAAGTTCAGGCAAACATGCCAATCCCTGTGTAAAAACAGTCTAGCCTGATTAATAATAGCAAAAATCACATATAAGGACATGTGAAAATCATCGTCAGTGGTCACATTAGTGACCTCTTACATCCACTAGCCACTGCCTCCAATAGGTACAATTTGGAAGCTTAGAGACTCTGATCCATCGCCATCCTCCTCTGAGAGTCTCAGCATGCCCAGCTCTTGCAAACAATTCCCAATCCTCGTTCTCACTCTGCCAATCAGGTGCTGCTTCGTAAAATTCTGTTTTCAAGTCTCCTTTGTTAAGAAATGCAGTTGATAGTTGAATCTCTGATAAAACTAAAGGGGCTTAAAAAATGAAGGAAGAAGGTCGGACACGGATCGGACACGTTCTCTCCTCTGCTTCTGCCACCGTTTCTTTGCCGCTGAAGTTCCGTCATCGCTCGAGGGTCTGATTCCTTCGCGGCTGTGGTCTGATAGCTCGTGGTCATCTGATTCTTAGCTCGTAGGTCTGATTCGGACTTGTTCCTCTGGTTCTGGTACTCTTTCTTTTATTAGGGTCACGTCAAAACTAACAAAAAAAAAAAAAACAAATGAAATGAAATCGAAAAATAAAAAATGTAAGAATGAGGTAATTAAAAAGAACAATGAATCACATTTATAAATGAACTGGTTAATTTAATTTATAAAATTAAATAATAATTTAAAATATTTTTAAAATATATAATTATTCTCATATTTATAATATATATTAATAAATTTATTATTTTTATTATAAAAAAGATAATTTAATTTATTATATTATTTTTTTATTCGATTTCATTCTTTTTTTTTAATCAAATATAACCTAAGTTACTGTTTCTTTGTTCTCATTCGCAGGGTTAGAGCTATACAAAAATTTTTCGATCCTATTCAACCTAATTTGATTTGAGAAGGTTTGGTCTTATTTGGTCTTATTAAAAATTAATCCTTTAAGATTAAAAAGATCAGACTATTTTTTCAGGTTAAATTGAATAAGAAATAGGACATCTAGACCATCTAATTCAGCCTGGTCTTATTAAATTTATTTAATATGATTATAATTTATTTATTAATTATTTATAATAACACATTAAGACTATTAATAATTTAAAAAGTCTGGTTCTTCACACGATTTCATGGTCATACTAATAATTTAATAATCTGAATCACTTAGATTGTAACTAAATTTTTTCTTCTTGAAAATTATTATGAATTTATTATGATTATAAGTGTTTTTATTATCTTAATTGAGTTTATTAGGTTGAAATGAATTAGGGTCTTTCATAAAGGAAAAGGAAAAAGAAAAGTGAAATGAGTATTGAACTAATAAAATTAATCTCTTATTTTTATAGATCAAGTTTGATTTTATTAATCTTTAAATTACACTAAATCAGATTAGATTATGGATTGTTTAATTTAATTTTTTTATAAAAAAATAGACTTTAAGTTAAAATAAAATTCAGTTAAATTCAATCTTTTGTACAGCCTTACGTGGGACTAATAGCTGGTTGATGACACGCAACTTTAATTCAAGATTGTTGATCACCTGACTTGGACCTGTGTTACCGACAGTGACCGAACAGACCCTAAATTATGACGATGCAGGGCGCATTTGTATGTCTTTCCGGCATTGAATACGGCAAGAGATAAATACAATGGCATAAAATTATTCATGCCGCTCCACAGTGAAAGGAAGGACAACGTCAATCATCTTTTTTAAAATGAAAATAAAATCTCAACTGTATTTACATTGAATTTGGCATTCTTATTCACCTGCTAAACCTCAGCCTTTAGTACTTCTATGAGGGTTGGAACATTTGATCATTCTCTACATCTTTGTTAATATTCTTACGAAATATCATTCCTGAAGAAAACTTAATCTGGCTGTGTTTAGTTGGATGTTATGCTTATTACACTCTTTTTTGGCACCTTAAATTCAACTTCTTGTAGTTAATATTTTAGAGATGTGCAGTTTGGTTCTTAAGTAGTTTTTCGTTAGCTTCTTGAAACTTAATATTTTTGGCACCTTAACTTTATGTTTATTATTTGTTTTATTTCTATTGTATTAATTTATTCTTGATCTCATTGATAATATTTTGTGCTTTATCCTTATAAAGTTATGTATATTGAGTAAGCTTTCAGAATTGACCAACTTCAATTTTCTCTCTTTATTGGTGAAGTTTGTTGTTAACTTGTTATTCCAAAATAATGTACCACCCAAAATTAATATTATGATACTTCACAATTTTGTATTAAAAACGGAGAGGATAAATCTTCGAATTAACTGATAAAATTAATAGTCTTGTTGAATTTATAACTCATTTTTTTAATTTTAAAATTTGCATTATATGAAAATACCAGCTAAGAATTTAAGGGACTTGGTCAATACAAATAGAATTTAAGGAACTATTTTGCATTTTAAAATTTGTTAGAACTTTACTTGAATTAAATGATTTTTTAAGTGTCATAGTAGGGGTGGGCATAGGCCAAACTCTTAATAGAGGCTTACAAGCCAGCCTATTTCAAGTCAGGTCAAACTTATTTACTAAATGAACCAGGTCAAGTTTAGACTTTTGATTGGGCTTGTTTAGGTAAATAAGCAAAACTTATTTTAACAAGGCTTAGCCAATGAATTTTATAAGTCATCCTATTTACATATATATTATTATATAATATAGGGACAATTTCAATTAAGGACCTAGAAAGACATTTAATTATTGGTAGGTCTTTAAACAATCTAAAACTTCAATTCAATCCTCCAAAATTAAAGTGAAAATAACTTGAATGTGAAAAGGATGAAAATATACTTATGCAAAGAAAGAAAACAACTAGTTGATGATGAAGGAAAGAAATGTGTGCAAAAAGCTCAACATGCAGTTCTCTACTTCTCAGTCTTCGCTTTAAGGATGAGCAACTAATAAGATTCATCACTCACAAGCTCATAAGATTCATCCCTACCCCCTTCCTGATTATGTGTTCTCCTTCTAGTATGATAGAAGATTGTGTTGTTGTGTAATGTATTCTAATTCTTCCTTTTTTGTGTAATATGATTCGAAACAGTTGTCGAACAGGGATGTTTTTGGATGATGCCTTAGTAGCAATCAAATTTATAGAGGTAAAATGATGTAATTTGTAGTAATTAGAGGCATCTTCTATTAAATACAAATGGGTATGAAACATTTGATATGGGTATAGGTATAGGTTCAGTGCAGGGAATGGGCATGGAATGAATCGATCATTTGGCATGAAAGAGTTGGGGCTTTTGGTTGATATAAAGTATTAACATTAAAATTCCCAAATTACAAAGTTGTTGAGTAATAAAAGTTCTATCATTATATGGTGAGTTGTTAAAACCTAAATGTTATGTTGTTAATATTACAATTCTTATTATAAACTTATGAGTACTGATAAAGTAATTGAAATTAACATTTTAATGACATAGAAGTTGGCATCACTTATGGCTTCCAGTTCTATAAAACAATTATTTTGCATCTTCCATATAAGGGGTGAATTTATGAAGACTTTAAAGGAAAATATAAGATATGAGGGTGGGATTATAAGTAGAAGATTGATAACACAAGAGATGAACTATAAAAAAAAACTAAAAAGTATAAACTTAACAGATGTGTGGCCTAAAAGTAGTTGCAGTACCATAAAGTACATAGTAAGTTATGATATAAACTTACTACTAGATCTTATGGATGACAAAGGAATATTATAGAGTAGCATATTTTTTAATATCCCTGGAAAGATTTACACTTATGTTATTTATTCAATATTATCTTTTAATATATTATATAGGGTTAAAGTATAAATCTACCCTTGAAGTTTTTCGGGAGGTACATTTAATATCTTAAAGTATTTAATGGCAAAATTTTACCCTGATGTTTTTCAAAATGGTACAAATGTACCCTGCCATGATAGAAGCATTAAGTTGACCATTAACCTAAGCTTTTTTACCATCAAACCTTAAATGTGGCAGCCATATCACTTGCCTTGTCAATTTTTCCTCCTCATCCCACCTTATACCACAAGCCCATTCTTCTTCCTCATCTCAATAGATTTAGTCATGCAAGCTCTCACCTCTTTTATCTTTCTCTTCAATTCCACTCTCGCCTTTAGTTCACTATCCCATACTAGCCTTTTGAGACCCTTCTCCACACCATTTCCCCTCTTCCTTTACCTTGCTCTTAAATCTTCTTGGCTTTTCACATTCTTGACTCTTCTCTTCTTGCTTCTCCTTGCTCTTACCTTTGATTTGTGTGATTCTTAATTCTCCTTCTCACTCCTACCCCTAATTTGTGTGATTCTCCATTTTCCTTCTTGTTCCTACATATGATTTGTGTGATTTTCCATTCTCTTTCTTGCTCTCACCTATGATTTATGTGATCCAAATCAAACTCACAATTGAGATCGAGGAATCTAAACTTTGAGGAAGGTGAGTGTAAAGTTGCTGGCGCGTACAAGATCCCTGCATTCATTTTCATTGGTATGGGTTAAAGATGAGCCACATA